AAATCCCCATAAAAACAAAATGTTTTAGTGTGTAGGCTGCAATCTCGGAGGTTGGTGTTGTTTCACGCACAGTGCTAAAGTGATGTCTGGAGATGGGTCTGGCTATATGAGACCAGTTTCACATAGTGACAGGGATTTTGGTAACATGCAGACAGCAGAAGAGGAGGAGAACTCCGTCTGAAATAGACAGCCAATGGCAGACTTATATGCCCAGACTACATACTGTAAGCCAGACTAGCCTGACCCATAGCGGTTAGAGATGCACCGATTTATTGGCTGGACTCTGGTATTGGTCAATATTTGCCTTGCTGATGGCCATCGACCTATCAGCAAATAACATTCATTGCTGGCAGTGGCCGATGTTTTTCTGTTTGAAGTTGGGCTCGGACAAGAGGCTAGAATACCCTGCTGCACACGTGTGGTTTGTTTTCATGTGCGCTTCCAGTCAGCAACTGTTCTGTATCTCACATCTTGGATGAGAAGAGAAATAGAGAGGCAGAGATGATTATAAAGAATAACATGCCTCTTACTTACAAGTAGGCTATGAAGTATCTGTGATTTTTGCTTTTTTTAAATTGTTAATACTCGGGAGAAGATGCGCAGTGTACGATCAGCATCAGCAAAATTTTTATTTTAAACATCAGTATCAACCAAGAATTTCACAATTGGTGCATCCTTAACACTTGTGATTGAAAATCAAAATATTTCGGCCTCCAGTGCTTTATTTTTTTTGTCTTTCTCCCAACGTTATGAAAGTACAATATTAAATTTCTGGAGTGCTCATTTAAAGAATGAGCTCGTTTGATTCTCTGTTAATACTGTACCTCGGGGCATCAGAATAAGCACTTGGATCCATGGGGTCCATCTCGTCGTCTTTTCTCCCTGAGAGGAAAATAAATCTGTAACATCCATTCATGTAAAAAAAAAAAGTTTGAAAATGTGTGTGTGTGTGATAGAGGTGTCAACATTACCTCTTTTGCTTTTACTGTACGGAGCTATGTCTTCTCTCCTCGGCTTTCTTCTGTCTCTGTCCCTCCCCTCGTCCCTGTCTCGGTCTCTGTCCCGTTCCCTGTCCCGGTCTTTGTCTCTGTCCCGCTCTCGCTCTCTGTCAGACTTCTCATACGGCCTCTCGACTCTTTCTTCTCCTCCCTCGACTGGAAATAAATAAGGGCAATAAATACAAAATAAACCAACCAACCATTTTCCCAATTGATGATCAGACCTGCAAAGATTTGTGGTGATAGGTTGATAATAAATGGATCATCAAAATGTTATGTCATGGAGGGTCCATAATGCCATACCTCTAATTTTCTTGGCAGGTTTTGTTACCACTGCACTTGGGTCATTTGGGGACAGCCAGGCCACCATATCTGTCTCCACATTCCAGTAATAAGGAAGACCACTGTGGGTTTAAGGAGAAAGAAAATCAAATGGATGAATTTGCAGAAATAACAATAATAATCAGTGATAAATTATGAGAAATGATGTCATTAGAAAATCCAAGACAACTCCACATGAATCACAAACACAACTTATTGTAGAAATCTGGTGCACGTACCAAGCGGGGTCGAACACTTTATACCAGTTTGGTGGTAGATTCTCCAGCCTGGTGGATTCATAATCTACGTTGTTGTCATCGTAATCTTCAGCAATAATCTCCTCATCTGCCTCTGGATTAATTAGAGGAGAACAATTGTTACATGACACATCAAAAAAATGAATGAAACGTAAAGAAAAATGTCTGAATGCTGTGGGCCAAAATGTTTTCTACTACCTTGGTCTGACGGTTTAACAATCCCTCTCTTGGCCAGACGGGCCAGCAGTGCCGGGGGTAGAGGCATCCTGCAACAGAGAGATTGGAGGATTAATTCATGATGATGATGATGCAACCAGGACTGCAAACCTTCATCCACTGACTTCAGCAGCTGGAAGCCGGAATACACAGATAATGGTCTCTTTCAAATGAAAAAAAAAGAACTCACCCAATCATCCAAATATATTGGGTTTTATACGAAAACCAACAGAGCTTCATTTTTTACTTCTTTATGGACTTTTGACTTGTTTCCATTCGAGGACTGGTTTTGTTATTATGTTCTTAGATATGTTTCTTGTTCCCTGCAGCTGTCTCACCCTTGTCTTTTATGTGTGTGGATTGTTTTTAATGGATGCCACACAGGTTGAAGCCAAATCCAAATTTCCCACAATGTGGGACAGTAAAGTGAATCTTGAATCTATCTCAGAAAATATAAATATATGTATATTCTGTTATTCATAAATTGAATATATGTAAAGTTTTTTGTTGGTAGTTTTGCTTGTGTGACAGTAAACTGAATATCTAAAGGTTTTGAAGTGCTGCTGAGAAAAACAAGCAATTTGATGACAAAATATCAGTCATTTTAGAAGATTTCTAAACCAAACTGATCGATTCATTGCAAAAATAAGTGCCAGATTTACCAGTAATTAGTTCGTTGCAGCTCTAACACCAGCATAAATTTCCCCGCTGAAATTGGCCCATACTGACTGTATGCACATTTATCTGCATCTACAGCTGTTTTTTTTTCTCTTTTACCACAACAGTGGCTTAAAACAAAACAAAAAAAAAAACTATAGTGTTTGCAGGTGTGGATAACTTAAAATCTATTACGGTCAAATTTTTGAAGTGTAACTGTTTAATCTCCCACCATTACTGCAAAGTACTTAGAGAATGTCAAGTTGATTTCACACCATGTTAATTTTTTTGGACGGGGCGCCATCTTGTGAGGATCACGTTGGTTACCTGTGCCTGATGCGGTGGTCAAGCAATGGTATGTGGACAAACGGATCACCATATGTTGGTGAAGATTCTCAGTTATGCAGGTCATGGTAATCTTAAGTACTATATCGTAGGCAACTGGACTTGCTTGAGTTTCTTGAAGACTTTTCACCTCTCATCCAAGAAAACAGGACTGAAAAAGCCTCTTGGGTTAGATGTGAAATGTCTTTAAGAAACTCAAACAAGTCCAGTTGCCTACAATATAGCACTTATGATAATCACCCTATGACTTGGTAGCCCAAGGCTGGATTACAGACCCTGATGCACTGCCTTCACTCACATACCTGACACTGCAAATGTAAAATATCTCGCTTTTGGACTGAGTGCATCCATTTTGATAACAGAGGTAACTGTGTGCCTACCCCACAAAACAGCGCTCCCCTACATGGCGGCATGACATACCTTCTGGGGATGCACAGATTTATCGGCCGAATATTGGTATCGGCCAATTGTCACTTTGCTGACTGCCATCTGCCGGTAATTAAGATGACATTCACCGATGGCAGTGGCCGATATTTTTCTGTTGTGTCACATCAAATTAGAGCAGGATAAAGAGCAGGGCTCCAGACTAACGGCCACAAACTAAAATTAATGAACAGTAGAGGAAGAGCACAGTGACTGTTGGGCTCTGTGATCTCATTGATGTGTGGCGAAAGTAGCAGCCGGTGTCCTGTCTGTCTGTCGCACTGGCCACCCCTGAAATCTGGTAAGCTACCTCATTATCGTAAACTATGATCATTCACTCAGTTGGTACTTTATGATGTGCCTGCATTTTTTAATGTACATTGCTTTCTTTTGTATGCGGCCTACTGCTGAAGGTACAACTTCTTTTTGAGGACTTAAAAGAATAAAATATAGAGGCATTAAATTACATTTATATGGTGCCAATCTGTTGTGTTGTGATTGGTAGGTCTTTTTATATTTTTAATTGAAAATTTACACACAGGAATGTAAAAAAAACGGTCATATACTACAGTGTTAGTTATTAAAAGTTAAGGGTGGGGGGAAAACATTGATACAGCATAGTATTGCAACATTTTTGTGTGACAATATTTTATCATCATACAGTGCCTAGTATTGATTTTTTATCATATAAATTATTAGTGTTACAAATACAAATTTAACTTTACATAGCCTACTTGAACAATAAAATCAATTGCTTTTTAAGTCCACTAAATAAATTTTGCTGCTAATAAAATTATTTAAGTGAGATGAACACAAACTTTATCTTATTAAATAATGCAGATGTTGACAAAGTTCTCCTTTGGGGACATAATTTATAGTTAAAAAAAAAAAGACAATAAATCGCAATATGTTTTATTGAAATACTCAGCATATTGCGACACGTTAAAAATTGCTATAATATTGTGTCTTGACTTCAGTATCGTGGAGCCTCTGGTAATTCCCAGCCCTATTAAAAGCAGATATGAATAGTGGAGACAGAAACAGTGATTAAATGCTAGTCTGTGTGTGTTTGCACGGTCATGTCACCCCTGTAGAATAAACTGAGTGCCACATTTGAGCCACCCCAGTCAAAAAACAGTCTGGACACGCCACTGCTTACAGTAGGTAACAAAGCAACAGGGTTAAACACAGATGCAACAAAGCCAGCAGAAATATGACTCTCATGAAATTTATCCTGAGATGTAAAGAAAGGTCTCTGAATCAGGATTAAAGCCTGGGTGGCTGAGAAGAGTTCACTGATGGTTATAAAGTGTCCCACCAGTCATTTCAATGGATCATTCTCATCTGCATGCTGTTCCACGTTACATCTGCGTCTCCCGGTGAAACGTTAACTTGTGTTGCTAGGCTGCTTTTAGCATCTCAGGTTTGGATAAAGTCTTCTTAATAATAAAAGGAGGCCTCTTGCATTTTGAATTCACACGCTTTGGACACGATAAAGCATTTATTTCCACAAATTAACTCGAAACAACTGCTCGGTGACTCCGGCGGCAGCAAGTGGGTGATTAAAACAACACACACACCTGTGAGCTCCGTAATTACCTCGAAACTACCCTACACTTAAACCCTCACAATTCTATAGAGAATTTAATGAATTAAAATCACTTCAACATTACCTTTTTAATGAAAACCGCCTCTGATCTTCGATGAGAGCTGAGGACGAGGCGACTTCCCACAACAGCACACGGCGCGCACAGTGATGACGTCACAGCACGGTTGTCCTGACGAAAACAAACATGGAGGAATATGCCCGTGAACCTTGGTGAGATTAGGGTTTTTGTTTTTTTTTTAAAAACATTTCTCTTTCGTTATTTGTTCAACATTGTTAACTTCGGATATAGTTTGTCTTGTTAATGTGATGTTGAAGTTGTAGTGAGAGCGAACAGAGAGGCTCTGTGTGTTAGCCTGTTAGCTTAGTGAAGGGACAGGGACATAACGAGATAAAGCTGTGGTCAGTTAGTTTGAGCCTCAACAACCTTTTGTGTTTATGGCTCTGTGTCTGTGACAGTGACAGCTGAAGGCATTATAAAGGGAAAAATACTCTAAAATACAGTTCACACATGTAACTCATATAATATTGTATAGCTCAGTTTTAATGTGTGAGTTTGATCCAGCCTCCAGTGACCAACAGACTGACCAACACTCATATCAACTAAAGATAAAGCCTGGATCAGCTCCAGGACATAGACTGTAGCTGTGGTGTTACTGCCATATACAGGGGTCCTACCAGAATCCCTAGCTATTAATGAATTGGTAATTTTTATTTCGTTTACATACATCTATTTTCACACATACGTTTTTCTACATTTAATATTATTATTTTATTATGTGCTGTATCATCTTTTTCTTTATCACAAATGTTTAAATTGTCTTTTATGGTCAGCACTTTGTGTTACATTTTATGCATGAATTGTGCTATATAAAAGTTATTATTATTATTACAAAGATAATTTCACAAAAAATTCTCACAGTCCATTACTGAAAACAGAACAGACCAAAGCCCAAGACCTATTTTTGCCTATCCTGTAGCAACCAAAGGATAACCCAGACTACCAGCAATACCAAAGAAAGGAAGTAGAAGCAAATACAGCAAGGTGTAGCATATGTAAACAGTGTACACCACACTAATATTAATAATGATACTTAGTGTTTGATATAGACATATGATATAATATATGATGTAATGAAACAGTATAACATATTAAGATGATGCAGTATAATATAGTTCAGTAGAATAAGTGTGTAACGATATATCGATTAGGATCGATGTATGGATTCAGTGATCAGAATTTGAGCATCTCATCAAGATGCCTTTTCCAGGCCTCCAGGCCTTAGAGGTTTTCCAGGCACATCCCACTGGTTGAAAGCCCCCGAGACAGACCCAAAACATGCTGGAGGAATTAAATATCTCATCTGGCCTGGGAACGCTTCTTGGGAGGAGCTGGAAAGCGTTGCTGAGGAGAGTGATGTCTGGGGTACTTTGCTCAGCCTGTTACCCTGCAGCCTTGCCTTGCATAAGCAGATGAAAATGGATAGATGGATGGGTGGATGAATACATATTATCATCTTTAAGACGCACCTTCCTCCTAAACATTCAAACAGTACTAGCAGCCTAGTGCCAGGCAGATAACAGTAAGCAGCTAGAATATTTACTGATATCGTCTCATATTGATTGAAGGCCCCTGAATTGAATCAGATCAAATCACGGAAGACTTTTTAATAGCAGCAAATATTGCATTGTTGTCCAAAAAAAACTGATATTGTATTGTAATAAAACCTGTGATATAAGATACACTATAAGGTGAAATGCAGTATTATAGTATCATGTAATATATAAAGTATAGTAGAACAATATAACATAGAATATCAAATATAATATAGGCTAATATAGGTATGGTATATGGATAGTAAACTTATCTTGTGAAAAGTAGGCAACAGTTGTACAAGAATATATTCAGTATTTAACGACCTTTGTAGGGCTGCAGTTAACAACTATTTTCCTAGTTCAATGTTTCCATTATTTGTTTTTAGAATAATTTGTTTCGGTCTATAAAATGTGAGAAAATAGTGAAAAGTACCCATTTGATGTGTTTGCTTGATAAATGATTGAAGCAGTAGTTGCAGATTATTATTCTTTTCTCTTATTGATTAACTAACTGTTTCAGCATAGCTATGATGGTGCCAGTGTGATAGGGCGGCAACAGTAAAAGTAATTTGGATGGAGTTTAAAAAAATAGATATGTTGTTATAACTGTCAATAAAATATCAAAAATCACTGCAGTAGCACAGTGTGAATTATGTCATGGTGCCACTTTTATCTCTACAATAAACTATTTTAAGTAGCATTGTGGTATGGATATGAAATGCACACATGACATTACAAAGCCTAAGTATGACAAATAATTACGTCAACATGCTGTATCCTATTTTTATATGTTCTTCCCCTCTGTTGTTAATGTATTCCTGCAGTCCCTGGAGGATAGTGGATGACTGTGGAGGTGCTTTCACCATGGGTGCTATCGGAGGAGGGGTGTTCCAGGCGGTCAAGGGCTTTCGTAATGCCCCTGCAGTGAGTTCACCACATAATAATAATTATTATGTGCTCCAACTCTCATCATGCTGTTAAAGGCAGATTTGAACAGTGCTGTAATGTTTCAGGGTGTCGGACACAGACTGAGAGGAAGTGCAAACGCAGTGAGAATAAGAGCTCCGCAGATCGGAGGTGAGAATGCCTTCTTACATAACCAGGAATTATTTCCTTTACTGTAGCTCTTGGAGTTATTCTTATGGCATATTAGACTTTAAAAGTATAATTTCTTGTATATATCAAATATTTTACCTGCAAAAGGAATTGTTATGTTTGGCTAGAGCCCAGTTATTACATTTTTCTGGCCTAAAACTAAAATCTTACATCAAACCTGGCTTGTAAACGCTCACTGGCTTGTTTGTGGTGGTTTCACAGGTAGCTTTGCCGTATGGGGAGGTCTCTTCTCCACCATCGACTGTGGTTTAGTTCGCCTCAGAGGGAAAGAGGATCCTTGGAACTCTATAACAAGTGGTGCACTGACAGGAGCCATCCTGGCAGCACGCAGTAAGAGGAAGCCCATAAAATCACAACAAACATGACACCACCTTCTCATGTCACTGACTGCATCAAATTAACAACTGTGATTCAATGAATTCTGTGTTTTTCTCCAGGTGGGCCGTTAACTATGATGGGCTCTGCCATGATGGGGGGGATCTTGCTCGCTCTCATTGAGGGTTTTGGGATCCTCCTCACCAGATATACAGCACACCAGTTCCAGAACCGTAAGTGAAGATGATTAAGTTTTGCCAATGATATTCTAAAGTGGCTTAATCATTATTTCTATTAGCAATGCATCACATTATAACATGCATGTGAAAGGTGTCACTTGTAGTGATAAACCCACAGAGAATTATCACCTCTACAGTTCCCCTCAGCCCTACTGAGTGTTATGTCACAGTTTTTGTTTTCTGATCTGCAACTTTACTGTTGTGTTTCACTCTCACTGGTATCATAGCATCCTTTTCAGCAAAATAAAAGCTCTTAAATCCAACTTTATGCTACCTGCCTTGCAACAAACAGGAGGCAGACAAAGCTGGAAACTAGCTGGTGAACATTGTAAAACACTTTGCTATTAAAGAGACAGATATTTCCCTCAAGAGTCAGTGTAAACCAAAGCATCGCTGAGAGGAGAGTGAATATTGGACTTGTATTTACCAAGTGCACATAAATGTGTCTTCAAATTAATGCTAATTAATGCTAATGTTGCTCCGCATCTGCTGGATGTGTGTTTGTTGTAAGTTTGTCATATCATCTTAAAGAGTGAGGACATGTCAGTGCTCACAGCTGCTACAAAGTGCCCAAAAAACCTATTATTGAAGCTTTAAATTAATGAGGAAAATCATTCAGTCCGTTTAAGTACTCGTGCAATGTAATTACAGTCTCAAGTTTTATCTGTACCTCCCGCACACAAGTATTCTCACTGCATTAATGCTAACAACCCACTCATGCCAAGTAATAGCCATTAATGAATGACCGCAATTTGCAAATGGTAGCCCACTGTGGCAGTTTGCAGCACTGTGAGAAAGGCCTCTTGGAACAGATAGAAATCATTTAGTTGTTCTGTGGGACCTCCAGCAGAGCTACAGTGGTTTGTAGTTAAGCAGATGTATTGGTGTCAGTGCTGTAGAAACTACAGACAAACAAGAGGCCAGAAATGCAATGTTCTGTGAGGAGCTGACTCTTGTTTTTGCTAAACTGTAAAATCTTTTGTGTTTTATGTGTTTCCATAAGTCTCTTTGCACCTACATGTAGTGGATGCAACAAGTTGCAGATATTCCCTGACACTTGTAGAAAGGCACAAGCCTTTTTCACAGCAGACATTTTGACTTGTTACAGCAGAAAAAGCACAGGTGTTACTGATGATGCCACTAACGAGGGCTCTGCTCTGCTCAAGTGTCCCAGTGAGACATGACAGTGTGCACAGTAGGACACTGAGGCCTTGTCCACACATACATGGGTGTATTTGATAATGTGGCTTTTTGTGTTTTAGCTTACTGGAGATAGATCTTCTGTGAAGTATCTTCTGTAGAAGTTCTGCAGAAAAGAGTTTTTGGCTTGACATGTCAGAGTGTGCGTTGTAAGCGTCTTTGTAAGGCGTCACTTATGAGGCGATATTCAGTGCAATGGCAGATGTGAATGAAACAGCACTGACTCTAACCCTGATAACACGATTTCTTTTACATTTTTACACAAAAAAGTACAGATACTTCTTTACACTGAGGCATACAGGCGTCTGAATGTGTTATGGAGGTCAAAGCTTCTTCGTCTTGTTCTTGTTCTTCTGCTTCTTACTCTTCTTCTCATGGCTTTAGGGTTAAGGTAATATCACCGCCTGTTGCTTTGGGATGCTTCTGACAGCACTTGAGTTGAGGTTTGCAGTTTAATTTGGACAGAGATTTTTCAAAACAGTGCTCATGTGGACAGGATTTTTTTTGAGAACAAAGGAGGGAAAAACTCAGTTTTCAAAAATACCTGTGTCTTTGTGGCCTAGGCCTCAAACTAAAGAAGCCAAATAATAAATTCAACTTCTTATTTACACTTATTATTATGTTTTTCCTGCTGCAACATGTCAAAGGCCTATTCTCTGAAATGAACAAGTGGAGTAGGTAGATTGAGGGAAAGCAGGCTCATAAAAAAGGTTAACTGAACAGCATACTGTATATAAAGGTCAATGTGCACATACATTGTATCTTGATTATAACAACACCATGGATGAGCAGGATAGTGCCACAGAAACCTGAGAACTGTATCTTTCTTCTTGTTTTCTCCAGCTATTCCCTTTGTAGAGGACCCCAGTCAGTTACCACCAAAGGATGGAGGTCAGCAGCAGCAGGAGGCAAAGGGACAGTTTCAGTAGAGAGCAACAGGGACTGAGACCAGCTGTAAACACAGTGAGTCAGACCAGAGAGTAGCAGGGGAAACCAAACATTACAGTGGGTATCATGATGACCAGGAGGTGGAGATTCTGGTCTCTACAGTGGTGTCAACTAGTTGCACTATGTGCTCATACCTCAGGGGCAAATTACTGTGAGTCTTAGTTATTTATGAGTGAATGTGTATATGTGAGCAACAAACCTCACGTTTGCACCCACAGCATTTCATGCATCATTTTCTGTATGAATGGTTGTTCTGTCTTCACTGTAACCTTTTGGGGTTCAATATGTCATACTGAAATGTGTTTTTGAAAACTGATTTGATTATTCAACATCAAGGCAATATATGTATGTTAAAGGAATAGTTTGATATTTTGGGAAACACACTTATTCACTTTCTTGATGATAGTTAGATGAAAAGATTACTCACATGTCTGCACAGTAAATATGTAGCTACAGCCAGCAGACAGTTAGCTTATCTTAGCATAAAGACAGACAACTAATATCCTAATCTGTACAAAAGCCAAAGTATTAGAGACAGTTTGTTATTTTTTCCATGGGCTTATATGCTGGACTGTTTCTTGGGTAGCACAGTGATTTGCTGAAGTCTTGTCATCACTGTGAGGTTGCTAGGCAACCAGCAGAGATGGTATCTATCTTGTCATGTAAGGCCCTGATCACACAGGAAGCGTTTCAACAGCTGGAGGTGCCTTTTTGTAATTATTTTTAATGAAAATGAAGCTTATTGCTTGAGGTTTTTGCATTGTGACGCACCTGGTGTTTCTGCACTCTAAGCACCTGGCATTTTTGTCAGAGTGCCCTGAATGCCTCGAGTTGAAAAAACTTTAACTCAAAGCAGAAAAAACACCCCATATCATCTCTTTTTTCATCATCTTTTTTCCCATTGTCTTTACAATTGGTAGACAATGGAGGAGAAACTGTTGGTAGCAGGTGCTGGATACCCAGAGCTACATGGCCCGACGACAGACAGCAGGTGGTCAAACTGCCCCCGAGTCATCCTAGAATATGCCTGGAAATGGCCATCATTGAGTCGAACCTCCTGGACCAACTGGTGGTACTCCCCATGATCCACCCTCTCTTTTAGGGTCTCATGTACCCACACAGATCTCCGTTTATCTGCTGACAGCCTCTCACCCTCAAGCAGAGCTACAGACAGTACCCTCTGCCTCATCATTTTAGGAACTAGATACTAATTACTGTCAAATAACTAAAATAAATAAACAGTAGATTGATTACACAGGAAGTTTAGAATAAGGAGGTGAGTCTGTGGTTGCCTGGCAACAGTAAAAAGGTGCAGCAAGCATTTATTTTTCACTGGTGGCATTCAATTTAAAAAAAGGCAGTGTAGTGCGCCTTGTGATTTGCAACCTGCAAAATGCTTTCTGTGTGATCAGGGCCTAACTCTTGGGAAGAAAGGGAATACGTGCATTTCCCCAAATGCCAAACTATTCCTTTAAGCTTCCAAAGATCTTCTACTTGTATGCACAGAATATGTTTGTTCAGTGAGGTTTTACTATAGAGAGTGGTATTGTGAGAATATGTTTCTGAGTCTTTAATTTATTTGTCAGTTGCGACAATCAATGCAAAGAACTGTGTGTTTATAATTGATGTGTGTGCTTTAAGATGTGTCTGGGCTCAACCAAACCTCATTCCACAATTTGCAGTTTCTCTTAAAGGAATACTTCACCCACAAAGGGATCATTTGATTATGTCACCTTGAATTTGTGGAGCAAACTTTGTTTTTCTCGCAAGCCTCTATGGTGAACTAAGAATCCAGAAAACAGAGATGTATATCTTTTTCCAGCCTCTCCAGGTAACGAGTATCATTAAGCTCCAAATCCTCAAAACCAGCCTGAAATTAAGGAAATCTGAAACAAGTGCATTAGAGTCAATGCAGCACAGCTGTGTTGTTGTTGGACCCTGGTCTGAGCCAGCCCAATGCTACATTATGATTGGCCAGTCTGCGTCCAGGGGCGGGGCTTAGCGACGGTTCTATTCATCAAGAATTTTAGTAGTTATTAGATTTTTTGTCCTCTGTCAAAGCTTGCAAAAAAGCAAAGTTTTCTCCAGAAATTCAGTGTAATGCAGGGTAAATAACTGATATACAAATGATCATTTTGTGTGTGATGCGTTCCTTTAATAACGTCTTGCCTCACCCGGCAGCTTTAGTCATTTTGAATCTTTGTTGAATAGTTGTCATCTTGTGTTTTAGAAGGAGGAGCACAAATCATGAAAAATGTGAATGGATATTTTATTGCTTTAATTACTGGCACATGCACCTGTGTAGTCACTTTGATCGCTGCATCATTCATCAAACAACAAAGCACTTTTTAAACTCCATCTCTCTGTTTTCTTGAAATCGTAGCATCAGTCACAGGAGAGAGGTGATGCAGTGTGATCCCAGCATTTGCTGTACAAAAACTATGTATAGAAAGAATGCTTAATTTATGTATTGAAATATATTTATCTTGCAAAAACTGATTTTAAAAGACAATAAAGGCATCAAATGTCCTTGAAGACTTGAGATGGTGTTATTTCTTGACATGGCTCCTGCTTAAGAAAAGCTTATATTATGCAATGATAGTAATTGCTGACATTACATGCACCTGGGCTCAATCACAGTGTGTTTATTCACTGTGAAATACCGCCCCTTGTCGCCCTTTAAGTGGTACTGCACCCACCAGCTGCTCTGTCCAAGGTGCTGAAATACTCTCAAACTTATAGCAGTGACCCATCCTAATTTTTCTACCCGAACAATAATATTCCTGTCTTGTGTTTAACTACATCTTTGTACCAAAGCCCCACAGAGCCTCAGAGAGCCTCCTGAGTTCACCTGCACCTTCTAGAAAGATTTCCCCTGTCATCCTTTTAAACGGCTCAGCTCGTTTAATCCTGCCGGCTGACCACCGCAGAGACCGGGACGCGTTTGTTTTAATATCCCCTCACCGTTATGTGCCTGCGGAGATAAAAAGCAATTGCACTTCTTATTTACACGCGTTGGAAATTACCAGAAATCGGCTTTAATTGGATTTCTACACTCCAGGCAGGCGGTGAGCAGGATGGCCTGTAGCCTGTGCGCTGCACCGGCGCGCTGCGTGTGGACATGAAATGACAGGCAGCAGATGGTCCTTCTTTTTTTTTTTTTACACCTGGAAAGTTTTGTCTTTTTGGGGCCAAATTAATATCTGTGATCCATAAGGCATTGCAGAGCCCACTGAGGAGTTGATGGTGGGTTTTCTGGAGTGATTTCGTGGTGTTGAACTGCGGACATGGACGCAATAAAGAAAGGTAGGAACTCCTTACATTGTCTTCACAGTAGCATAGTGAGAATTACAGCTTCAAAGTCATGCATAACAAACTATAGAAGGCTCACTGTACTGTACTGTAAAGCTACATGCTGAAGTGACATTACAGGCATTTATTTCCAACATAATATTTCCAGATATTCTGTGAAGTTGAAAAGATTAGTCGAACACAGTTCCTCCTGACAGTAAAGCATGGTCCCTACAAATAAAATCAAAGCATACTCCATACCCTTTGCAATAATGGGACATCACATTCATTATTTCCACACTAACCCAGTTTATTTAGCTCTGTTCTGCCCAGGTTTCTGGCTCCTTCTCTGTAGTTTTTACATGGGTGAGATAATAAATGCACCTGCAGGCTTATTCTTTGTGCAGGGCCTTCTCAACAGGTGATCATGGCCCTGCTTTGGGATAGTGCTGGGCTAAGTGCCACTGCTGCTTCCACTAAAGAAGTAGGTCACATCTGGTCTTATAATATGAGGCCTTGAGGACAGAATACCTGTCTGCTGCTACAGCCACACGTCAAATCCTTCTTTAATTGTGTTAGATAATAGTAATAAGTCATATAAATAACTGCTGGCTGATGTTAGCAATGAAATAATCACATGGTGCAGGAGAGGATTTAAACAATAACAATGGCACTGAGCTTTTGTTTTAGCATTGATTCAATGGCAGTAAAGATGCCAGCCAGTACAACCCTTCTCTCTTAGCAAAGAACATACATTTTTACCCATAATACCCATATTTTACTTTATCACCTTCTTTTACTTCACGTTCAGGATGCTTGAAAACAAAATCAGAGAATTATTCTGTGTCTTTTGTCGTCAACAGATGTCCCCCCTGTGGGGGATGCAGGAAAGTCAGACACCCTGGGGTCGACTGGCTCGGCCAGAAAAAGGGGAGGGGGGGCCAAGAAGGCGATGCAGGCAAACAAGTCTGCCCTCAGGGCCCCCCGAGCCCTCTGCTGCCTCACCCTCAGCAACCCCATCCGCATGGCAGCGCTGGCCCTCGTAGAGTGGAAATATCCTTCTCTGAGTTTATGCAAACAGTCCTGAATATGATGTAAACGTGTGATGTGTTCATGAGGTGTGAAGTTTTTATGATGCTGTCATGTCCCTTGAAAGTTGCATTGACGAAGTGCCCTTAACTACAATCCTCAAGCCTTTTGATATCTTCATTCTGCTCGCCATTTTTGCCAACTGTGTGGCCATGGGCGTCACCAAGCCGTACCCTGATGATGACTCCAACGCCACCAATCACCAACTGGTGAGTTTCCAGTGCAGCAATACACAGCAGCTCAACCAAAGTAGTTTCTTTAACTTGTTCTGAAAGTTAGGAACACATGAATATGCTGAGCGAGGCTTTAACACAAGTTTAGGTGATGTAACCTCATGAAAGAGATGAATAATTTAATCACCACATTATTACATAGAAGGAAAATGTAAAATAAAAAACTTTTCACTGACCCGCTGGAAAAATCTTTTCTTCACCAATGTGTTCAGGCACAGAGCCTTCAGCAGCGTGTTTTAATGATAAGCTTCTTTATAATGCTGCACCTCTAACACAGACACATCTAAATAAAAGTACACAATAAAATGCAACAAACAATAAGTCCCTGAATACATCACAAAAACAAGGATAAATGAAAAACATGGGTGACTATCCTTCTTACAAA